AAAGATTCAATCAGAAAATTATTGTCTTTTAATGCTTTTGAAAATAAAACTAAAAAGACTGCATGCAAAGGTGGAGGCTTAACTGATACCTGCAGGTTGTTTTTGCATTCTCAGCTGCAATAGTTTCACGACTAGTGTTCACAAAGCATGAGGGTCACAGACAATGACAATGACCCCTCAGTGTGGTTATTTTTAATCAGTATTCTGACGCATATCCAGACCCACCCAAGCAGAGATGCCCAGACCTCCTCCAGCTCCTCTGGGGTGTTCCCAAGCTAGCTGAGGGACACCTCTCCAGCGTGTCCCGGGTCTCCTCCCAGCTACACCTCACCTACGAGGCCTCCAGGAGGCATCTTAGTCGGATGCCTCTGCTTGATCCCTTCGATATGATAACGATACATGGACTGAACCCATTTACGCACATTCATATAGGCACTTCTTTTCTCCATCTAACTGCTTACAGTCTAACATTCAGACTCCAATCAATGCATCAAGGGCAACTCGGGGTTCAGTTTCTTGCCCAGGGATACTTTGCCACGTACACTAGAGCAACCAAGGAATTGGCTCACCAATCCTGCGATTAGTAGATGACCTGCTCTACCTGCTGAGCCACAGCCAGCCCACTACGGAGCTCCTGAAAGGCCGAGCTCCTCACCCCACCTCTAAGGCTGAGCCCAGACACCCTTCAGAAGAAGTTCATAATAAAGTCATCTGGTCACTGCCCAGAGTTCAAAGACATCCTTATAGGTCTGTCATAGACTGGTTAGCAAAACCTTTTCAAACACCATTTGTGTACTACACATTTATAAAAACCGTTACAGTTTTTTGTTTTCAAATATTTTTTAATTTCAAGTGTTGTTTAAATGTCTTTGTTATCTTTAAATTAATATATACAAGATATCTGATAATACGTAAGAAATGAGGAAGTATTAGAATACAAACACAATACTTTGTTGAGGTGAACGTCACACAGCCGTGCGGTCATACACATGCACCGATTCTTCTTCATGTTTGTTAAAATGGTAAATGGCCTGTATTTGTATAGCATTTGTATATATATATATATATAAATATGTAAATAAATATAAATATAGTATTTGTATATTTTTACTTTTACTTTACTTTTATGTTTCCCAGTTAGTTTTAGTTTACTTTCAATTAAAGATAATAACCTACCCACCTCCTCAAATTGAAATAAACAATTAAAAAACAATAAATCATATGACACTGAGATAATAAATCCCCCCCCACACACACACACATACACACCTCCCAGCTACTAAATTATAGTTTATACAATTACTTCAAACTGCAAACATTTTCTGAAGTTCTCAGCAGATTTTAAAGAAACATCTGCTTTGGCTTTACATCCAAAATACCAACAAAATATCAATTTAAATTAAAATAATTCAAGTGGGGCCAATATAGCAGCGCTCTTTCAGTATCTGCATTTATAACAGCTGATAAATGAAAATGTAAGAAGTAAAGCAGAGATGAAAGAAACACCCTTCAGCCATGTTGTAATTGTTGATGTTACATCTTTTGCCCACCAGGGGGCACTCTGCAACTTCCCTGTCAGGAACAGAGGGAAGTTTATGTGACAATAAAATGATTTTTTTTAACTGCATTTATCAAAATATCTTAATTACTGGTAAATATCTGCACATAACAAATGTTGGGAAAATGTGTTGGCGATTTGTGTCTTGCAAAGAAAAGGACAACGTATCATTTCATCATTATACATCAGTATCGTTCTTACAAGTCTTGTATTTGAGGCTACAATGAGTAAATAATAATAATAATAATTACAAAAAAAATATGGGATGTATTTTTGTGTAATCCCACTTTGAACCACAAGATGGCGCTGGGTATTTAACCTGGCACACCGTTAAGGACATTTTCCTATTGGTGCCCTGGAAAGGGGCAACTCTGATGTTAACAGTAACGTGGTGACTTTGAATTAACTGCAATAATTGCCTTTTGCAGAGGCTGGTTACACAAATAACTACGGAGTCGTTATCAAAAGAGCTGCACGTTATTTTTCTATTAATCAGCTAGTTTCTCGATACCTCATCCTGTAAATGAAAACACTTGCATATAACCCCTGATTCCTCACACATATCTCAGGGTGTCACGGACTCGCTGTGTTACGCCCATGAGATAATGCATAAAGGCGACCAACAATCAGTGTAAGGCAAAAGCTGAGCCGTGACATATATATATATCCATTTTCCCTGAAAGCTCTACGAAGTCATCGACTATATCGGAAATTCTTTTCTGAAATAATAACAGCTGCCAAGGTGTTGCACACTGCAGCGAGCAGTTCTGCAAACTCCTCCAGCGTGGGTGTGATAGGCAGACGTCCAAAGGGCCTTTAACAAGGTGTGCTGATAAAACACGCTTTGAGGAAAATGTCATGAGATAATAACAACAGACGGGGGAAATCACAGGGTTTAATTGTTCTGCTAACAATTACAACTGATCCCTACTGACGCGGGTCCTGTTGCAGTTAATGCAGTAATTACAGAGTGTGTGATTCCTCCAGACTCTTCAGCTCCTAAAATAATGGCCATGTTGTTTCTTTTGCTGCTGGATTTCCTCCTTTATGTCTACTGGTTAAACAATCCCATTAGATCCCATCCAGGTCTGTTTTCATTGGCTCAATCAGCTGATTACCAGGACCTGTAGGCCTGCACATCCGCAGAGGAAAGAGCCTCCATGTGATCACATGACCAAAGAGATGTCACCTCGTCAGAGCATCCTCTTTCTCTCGGCCTCCCTCTGACAGGCAGGAAGCAGCAGCGCTTTGTTTGGTCAGGTTGCTGGAGCAGACCTTCAGCTGGTTTCATGTTACACACCTAAAGCCTAAACCCCCCTCCCCCACAGATGGCTTTTATTCCAACACATTAAAGGAAGAAGATCTTAGCTGTTAATATTTAAAACGCAAACGCAACAACCCCTCCCAGAGTCAAAGGACGAGCTCAAAGCGGGAGAGAGGCACCTGGGAAGCGGGCAGGGTCGCCGGGAAGGTGAGGAGAAGTGATGGAGGCGTGTCGGGGAGGGGTTCCAGATTAGGAGCAGGAGGGAAAGCAGTGACAGGCTGCCTTCATCCAACTGCGTCAACAGCAGACTGTGCGTAATCTGGGTGCGCGTTCAGACACGAAAAGGCAAACAGCAAAACTGGAATGTGAAACGCAGCATATTATGAGGAAAGTGTGTGTGTGTGTGTGTGTGTGTCGGAAGGTTTCTTACCGTGGCCGAGGTCAGGCTGCTGTCCGCGAGCGTGAGGTGATGCGGCTCCCATCTCCGCAGGAACTTGGAGGTGAGGATCTTGCTGAGGAAGGTGCGGGGGTGTTTGACCACGCACACCTGGATGTCCCCCTCATGGAGCAGCTTGTATCGCATCCCGCTGCTGCTGCAGTGATGCAGGGACCTCTTGCACGGCCCCGCGCCCAGCTTCGTGTTGTTATTGCTCTCCGACATGTCCGCCAGCAGAGGCTTGTTCTCCTCGCACTGGTAGAACTGATTGTTGTGCGGCTCGCTGCCTTCAACGCCGCCGCCGCTGGTGAAATCCATAGTTGTGTGTAATCCAACAGTTTCTGCTCTCAAGGAGGGGAGAGTGAGCGCGTCGCCACGACACGACAATCCGACATGAATATGTAAAAAAAATCCAATAATAATAATTTAAAATAAAAATGAGGTCGTTCAGATCGAGCTTGGGGGTGGGGGGTGAGGGGGGGTACCTACCTACCAACCAACTGCTACAACACGACCTCGGTTACTGTAGACAGGCGCAGAAACGCCACCGATCAGTGTCTCAAGGCAGCAGATCCAGATGTGGGGAGATTTTCGTGACACACTGCAAATAATCCACCATTTCCCTCCCCGCACAATGCCCCATAAATTGTCTCCACGGTGCGCGTCTCGCCTCCCCCTCCACCACCGCCACCAACGAGCTACTCAATATGTTAGGGCCATGGCCTTATCCATTCCGTCCGCCCTGGCTCCAAACGCAATAATCCACAGCGAGAAACGTGCGGGATTCACGCGAAAACGGGACGCGTATCCAATGGCGGCGACCGTGGGCTCCTCCGTGGGATTTTGTGGTCATTACAAGCTCACTGGCACGGTTTCCTTTTATTCAGTCTTTTCCCCCTATCTTGGTGTAAAGCAGCCAGCACTCTCCGGCAGCGCCGAGCCGATTGGTCCTCGCTCGTTCATGTGACACCGGACTGACGTCAATGGGGAGGTGAGCGGATGAGCCGTGTGTCTTTTGCGCTTGAGTGTCTGCCGAGGGCGCACGCTCGAGCTTCGCTCACCCTCCTCCCCCGTGCGCGCAGAAAAATGGAGGAGGGCGCAGCGACTTCAGGCGAATCCTCATTTTCTTTTCCCGGTTCTGAGGAAATGATGCAGCGTCGTCACTTTCCAGGGAAGGAAAAGACGATCGCTGGCGGGCTGATGCGTGCAGGCGACGGGCAGTTTACACAGCTCCGAGCTGCTGATCGAAAACAGCCCCCACGGCCAGATTAGATACATCTGCCATTTGCAAAGGCAGAGGTTCGTTTTCTGTGGCTCTCAGAGACAACTTTGTGAACAGAAATGGGGAACAGAAAGGGAAAGGATTGATTTTTTTTAAAGTAATACACATTATGCACATAAAATGAAGAAATTTGTATTTACAGGCCTATATGTTGGATATCATTTGTTATAAATTCAGAAACCAGATCAGACAGAAAAGTAAATGATCCCTTTAAGTTTATAGACTCAGCAGTTCTGATAATATGACAGCAGCTGGGAATGATTATTTGAAAGCAGAACATAAAGCCCGAGAGCTTCACTGCATTATGTTCCAGTATGTGCTGAACATGAATCTTTTGCAAGAATGAATGCAGGAAAGTTCTACATTTAAAACGTATGCAGGTAAATCGGAATCATGAAGAGGCTGCTATGAAAGCTGCAACCACCAAACACCTGCAGAGGGTCAGATAAGTCCTGAAGAGTCAGCTGCATGATCAGGTACCCTGCTGGGATAATAAGCTGACCAAAGGAGGAGATAGGAGCCACTGACTCTGACTGACATGGGGGCTTTCTCTCCAGCACCCTGAAACTGTGTGCTAAGTGGAAGAAAGGTGGCTGGGGACTAGTGAGTGTCAGAGCCGCTGTCCAGGAGGAAACAACAGATCCATGAGTACATCTGGAAGATGGCCACAACTGATGGTGTGCTTAGTGAAAACCTCAGGCAGCAGCAACCTGAGAAAGGGGAGGGCCCTGCACAGCATATCTGATGGAAGAAGTGACTAAAGTGGCTAATAATTGAGAAATCCAAGTTGAACTGAAAGACAGCACAGAGGGGCTAATCATGGCAGCACAGGAACGAGCTCTGAGCACAAGCTCCATAACATAAAATAAGTGTACATAACAGCAGGGTGCAAGATGCTAGCAGGCAGGGCATACGTGGAAGTCATTCTCGAGTGATCGAGCGGAGAAACTGGTGATGGCTAACCAGCTGTACGTAGTGGTGGTAGACAAGCAGAGAAAGATAAGACTTTTAGCGATACCAAATGACAGCAACATCAGAAAGAAGGGAAACGAGAAGCTGGAGAAGATGTGGAGGGTGAAAGTAACAGTGGTCCCAGTGGGAATCGGAGCGCGGGAACAACATCCGAGATCTCTGTTCTAGGAACAGCTAAGATACTGCGCAGGACCCTCAAGCTCCCAGGCCTCTGGTAGGACCCGAGTTTGACGGATAAAAGACAAGAGGGGAATTTATATATCTCAGCAGGTGCAAGCTGAAGGCTTTCCTGTGGCCCCTAAGAGTCCCTGAACCGAAACCTCATCTGAAATCTGTGCATAGCCTCAAACGGACACAGTAAAGCATGCAAGACAGACGAAGAGTCTCTTGAGCAAGAATGTGACAAGCCACCACAAAGGAGAACTGAAAAACCCAACTGCTACAAAAAGCATGTACATTTACATAGGTGCCATAACATCTGTCACATGTGCTGTGTGACTGTCTTTGGACATTTGGACCTCATCCTGTGCTCGTGGAGTCTTATTCTGACAATTTGGTCAGAAACCTGCATCCGAGTAGCCCACTCAAGGTCATTTTATAGGGCTGTGGCAGCGGTCTCGCTGCTCCCCCTCTTCCAATGGAGCAGATACCAGTCCTGCTGCTGGGTTGATGGCCTTCTACGGCCCATCTCCCATTATCTCTCCCAGACTCTTGAGGCTTTGGAAGCCTGTTGCCTCCACTAGAAAAAAAGTATCCATAACTCGAATTTTTGAGTTATCTTTCTTGAAATTCTGAGAAAAATAACTCGAATTTTTGACTTAGCGCTGCCAATCAGTAATCTACGTGAATTATGTCATTTCCTTGTTACCTGGAAGCTAAAGCCCTCAGCTACAAACGCTACAGCTAACCTACCAGGTCATGAATGCACAAGTATTTTCAGCATGGCTTCACAAATGATGAAATCCTTCTGTTGTTAACCACATGGCGTTACTATCAGCAAACGTACTCTCGAAAGCGCCAGTTTGTTGCAATCTAGGTTTCGAGTTACTTTTCTCAAAATTTCGAGTTAATAAGTTGAAATTTTGAGGAAAATAACTTGAAATTTCCATATGAGGCTGTTCTGCAAGACATAGCAAACTTTGCATGATCTTATAAAAGTCTCCTGGCTACGATGTGACAAAGACACCGACAAAAAGGTAAAACTAGAGAAACATGAGTGAGGAGGGACAAGATGAGAGCGATGGTACGTGGAGAGCACTTGCAAAACTATCACCTGTTGGATGTTTTATTGTTGCTTCTTCAGTGCACATGTGTGTCTGTGTCGGTTCTCAGTCATCCAGGTCGTGGTAGTCTTGATTGTTTGCAAAAAGACAGCTTCCAGTTATTGTTGTTTATCAAGTTTTTCCTTAGTTTTTTTGAGAAGCCTAGAATAAATAGACTTTCTCAAATTAAAGTTGACCCCTGGTATTTGCAGGGAGACCTGTCTAAAAATGCTGAAAACTGCCTATTTTAACAGGTCAAACAGAAGATATACTTTAAGGTATCATCCTAAAAACACTTTGCAAATGCCAGCCAATAGGGTGTAAGTAGCATTGTGCCTATTTCAGCTTCCCAAAGCTGCATTTTCTTTCCCGGAAGCTTTGTGTTCGGAATTTCCACATAATTTTTTAAGAACAAAACCCAAACATTTTATTGCTATTTTACTGTGTTTACATTAATATTAATATTTGAAAATTAGTAAATAATGATTTAGACCCCTCACATCCTGGCCACTCCCTGTTTGAACTGTTGCCCTCAGGCAGACAGTGATCGCAGTCAATCAGCTAAGGACGAATAGACTCAAACACAGCTGTTATCCAACTGCAATAACACATCTGAATGCTACAAAAAAATGTCCATCACGCCACTCGTGTTAATCTATGCACGGTCTGAAGCATGTATGTGGGAATGTATGTGAATGTTTACTGTTACGTCTTATTAGTATTTTAAGTATTCTATTTTATTTATTGAATTTTATTGTTTTATTTATATTTTGATGTTGCTAGGGATGATGCAATGATCGGGGACCATTCTTAATTTTGTTGTACCTGTGACAATGACAATAAAGTTTCTGATTTTTATCATTCAAAAATGTATTTAGCCATGAAAATACTAAACATATTTTTGCCCCAGCAGAATGACTAACCAACAGGATTATGTCCACATCCGAAGGAATGTAATGAATGCTGCAGCCGTCAGAGGACATTGTACATCTTTGGTTTTACTCTCGTCCATCGGCAGGTTTGGACTCCGACGGGTTTATTTTGGATCGCAAAGATCAACTTCCACAACTTGCCAACGTCCGTCATAGATGTCTCATCCGAGCGGATGTTGAACAATACGAGCCCCGGAGTCATGCCTTCCCAGCTACTGCTGACAGTCACCGTGACTCATGTTTCCACTAACTCACATACACAGGTGGGTCATAAAAAAATGCTTCCCAGGTAGATGCTTTACTTTGTGGCTGATTTTCCTAACCTTCTGTGCATTTCAGCTCCGTTACCTGTTTAGTCGTATTCATGGCAGAACTTCCATCCACAGAGGCCGTTTATCTGCGCATCATACAAATCAGCAGAAATACAAACATGTATTTGAATGACAAATACGCAGGTGATGAGGGGGCGGCGATATTTATCCATCACGGGTAATCTCCCTTTGATTAAGTGTGATCTCTGTGGTTTTTCTTAAGTATTACACTCCACATCCTGAACACATCACTGAAGAAAAGGATGAGAAAAAAAGCAGAAAAAATAGAGAGCACCAAGCCCGATTGTGTTCTGTGTACTTAATGACATCATGAGGCTCCAAAGTAAGAGTAACTACGCATTTGTTATCATGAACTCGGTTTCAGCATTCAGAAATACAAATAGATGGAATTTAAAGAGAAAACATCAGCCTATCGAGATGTAATATGATGCAAACAGACACGTAAAAAACATAAAGTTAAAATAACAACAAAGACAAAAGAGAAAACGACCCCACGGAGATGCAGTGTGACCACAAAGAGACACAAAGATACTAAAAGGAGCTACAAAAAACCACAAAGAGACAGAAAGTTATTACAGACAAAGCGACAGCAGACACTTCTGTGTTTTTACAAACATGTAAGAGTGAGAGCAAAGGTTCAGACAGCGTTTAAACTCTACCGACATACACTTGACGCAGATTTGTAACAAGTTTGATTTTACTGAACAAGCTATAGGCAACACCTCGACTGTGCAAGCCTGCACCTGGAAAAAAAAGATGTTAGATGTCCTAAAAATGTGGCGGCCCTTAGCGGCTGGAAACACAGTGAGATGGACCAAGGCAAGTGTGGTGACACAAAAGTATTTATTTGCTATACAGCTCTCCTTACAACAATTAACTTGTCGAGCTTCTTCACAGCACAAAATCCACCTCTAATGACAACTGGCAGCCTTAAATATGTTCAGCTGTCACAGACTAAACCATTCTTCCACTCTCAGGTAAATTCTTAAATCCCAACCTTCCACCACAGTATACAATATATCAATAAGAATAAATAAATACATTTCACGTTTTCATATTAATAAATAGTTTACACTTGTTACACCAAACCCAGTATTATAAAAACCCAGAAACCCAAGCACAACAAGAGTCACCACACTCTCGTTACCAATGGTCTCTCCCGGAACCTTTAAATGGTGTCTGGACCCCCGGGGAAACAT